CGCAAATAGCGGCCGCTCACGGGCGCAAACGCGAACGATTATCGATTTTTTCATGTGCACTGCCAGATGTTAACTGTTTTTGGCACATTTACTTTCAGTCTGCGTCTGACGACGACCTGGGGAACCGGCGTCGAAAATTCACACAATAAAGTACCTTTTCCCAAAGAACGCCTCTGCCTTCAACATATATATATATATATATATGTAGAGTAGAAGTGGTAGGCATCCCGAGACGATATAATGAAAAAGGAAGAGGTTCTTCGAAAAAAATCGAGTAAAACTCGATTTTTTCCGAAGAACCTCTTCCATTTTCATATATATATATATATATATATATATATATATATGGATAATTGGAAAACAGGCATCCCAAGAATCATAATTCGAAAGAAAACAGCTCTTTGGGAAATATTAAACAAGTTTTATTGTAAATTTTCGAACTTGGTTCCCCAAGTTCCGAGATGATATGATGCATACCACTTCAGTTATTCAACATATATTTGGGCGTCAAACGCTTATTCTTACCAGACGTTGGGAGAAGTTCGCGCACAGAGAGGCGACAACCTTCGAGCAGTTGAGTTTCCTTCACCGCTGTCGCGATCATGGCATTCTTCCGAAGTCTCTTCGCTTTAAACCCACACTGCCCAATGAGGCTGGGAAGTCACTCGCTCGCATATATGGATTCCGTGTTTTGAGTGCGATTATATCTGACGTCCACCATCGTCTTCAGCGATTTGAGGCGATAATCTCTGACCTAAAGAGCCGGTGTGTTTCAGCCCTGCCTGAAGACATTTTTGAAAATTTACTGCAACGCATAAATGCCACCGCCAAACATGCTCGTATGAAGAAGCGGGCCGATCTTCAAGAGAAGCTCCAAGCTCTCCTCCGTCCTATCAATGACAGTAACATATCGACGAGAATTGTCAACCTTTCGAAAAGGATTCTCACACCCGCCGAATCAAGTCTATTGTCTAAAGGAATACGGTTCAGTCATGTCGATGCTGCGCCTACAAACTTCTTAGCGAACCTGGAATCCCTCCTGCTAACCTCATCCATCCCTGAGGACATGCGTGCGGACATACGCAACTGTGCGACCGGCCTCCTCCGGAAAAGAAGACACCAGCAAACCTTGCCGATGGAAGAGGAGAAGGGATTACGATCCCTGAGATCAGACGACAGTATCGTTGTTGTATCTGCTGACAAAGGTGGTGCTACTGTCATTATGGACAAGACTGACTATGTCAATAAGGCCAGCCAGGCCTTTAATGACAGAGAGGCCTATACCCCAATTGCTGAGGATCCGACGAAAAAGCAGGCCGCATCTATAAAGAGGAAGGTGAACGAGCTCACTCGTAAAAAGCTCATAAACCCCGCGGACTCCAAATTTCTGAGTCCCAACGACACCCGTATCGCACGTGCTTATGGCCTCCCAAAGGTGCACAAAGCAGGTGCCCCGTTGAGGATCATAGTACCGCTCATTGGATCGCCTACATATAACCTTGCCAAGTGGCTGTACAAGCACCTAAAGCACCTCACGAATGGATGGCAGTACAGCATCAACAACTCTCATGCTTTCCTTCAGAGGATCCAAGGACTTAATGTAAGCCCTGATGAATGCATTTTATCGTTTGATGTAGTTGCTCTATTTTCCTCAATACCGCATAACTTGGCCATTGAGAGCGTAGCCCGACGCCTAGAGGAAACTCCGATTGGCATTCCAACAGAGCACGTTTTAGACATGCTTAAGCTTTGTCTTAAGAACTATTGTCAATTCGATGGCAAGTATTACCAGCAGGTCAAGGGCACCCCCATGGGTTAATCGATATCGGGCCTACTCGCCGAACTAGTCTTACAAAGACTAGAAGAAGTTGTTATTAAAGCCATCAAACCAAAAATGTGGCTCCGCTACGTAGATGATACCTTCGTAGTCATAAAAAACTGCGAAGTTGAACGACTGCACCAGAGTCTTAACGGTGTTTTCTCCGCCATACAATTCACACGCGAAGAAGCAACAGGGGACATCCTCCCTTTTCTTGACGTCAGTGTACAAAGACTGACTGATGGCAATCTTGCAACCAGCGTCCACAGAAAAGACTCCAGCGCCGAAATCATCCTCATTTACGGGAGTAATCATCCTGCGGCCCACAAAAAAAGCTGCGTTCGAACTCTTTTTCACCGAGCCTTTCGGTACTGTAGCAGCCAGTATCTACTTAAGAGAGAGCTAGCCTACTTATACCAATTATTCCGATCTAACGGATATCCGATTAGCTTCGTGAAAAACTGTCTCAGACGTCAGAGGCAACCACAAGATCAGAGTCCAAGTGGAGAAGCGACACAGAGGAAATATTGTTCCCTGTCCTACATGCGAGGAATTTCTGAAGTGATGGCCCGACAACTAAACCGGTTTGGCATCTGCATTGCCCACAAGCCGGCGTCCTCCTTACGCGCAGCACTATCCCGGGCAAAGGATCCCATACCCAAAGAACAACAAAGTAACGTCATTTACCGCATCCCGTGCGCTAACTGCCGTTGCGTTTATATTGGTCACACGGGTCGACAACTTGGGACTCGCATTAATGAACACAAGTTAGCTATCCGCCGACGCGACCCCTTATCCCTCGTATTTGCCTACGCTCTTGATTGTGACCAGCGTTTCAATTGGGACGGTGCCGAAGTGGTCGCCATGGCTAACACTAAACATGCACGGGAATTCCTCGAAGCTTGGCACTCCGGTGCAGACAGCATTAACCGCCATGTTGACCTTGATGTCCACTACGAGGGTCTCTGATCACGGTGGACTGACTGGCGCCCACCATAAGTACAACAACAACAACTAATGCTTGCGCGGACATGCATGATCTCGCCGACACGCCATTCCTACCATCCTGCCCTACTCCCCCTCCCTCCCCCAACACGGTGAGCCACAGCTTGGACCCACAACACCTATCCTCACCTCCCGCACCCATCACAACATAATGCACACCTCCCCCTCTCAAGGTCGTCTGCTTACCTCTCTGTCTGCGTCCTCAACCAGCAGTGTGACAATGCCACCTCTCACTTTTCACTTTGTCTGACGACGGGTTGGTGCAACCAGCTCGAAAATTTACGAGTAAAAC